AACTAGTTACCCCAAGGGCCTTTCCTTTCTAAGGGTGAATTTATTTTTCCTGTATTCCCACTGCTGTGTATACGTATGGTGTCTCCTAAATAGCTTCCTCTCATTACGTTGGGCCTGGTGTTCCCCTTCTCTGGCTGCACTGTAGGTGAAAGTTGCAGAATTCTGAAATTGCATTCACTTCCTTCTCAATTTAGGAGAATCGTCTTTGTATGGCGGCTGCTTCTTGTTTTTGACTTCTGCTTCCCCTGATTACAGTTCACTCAACATAGTGTCTGCCGAGGCTAGGTAGGCTCCGCTGGTGTGTAGGAAGCTGTGAAATTAGGTGATTAATGTCACAGGGCCCTAGTAAGCTGGGTGGACATACCAACATGCCCAGGTACCATTCACTCCCAAGTTTTGAGAGTTCACAGAGTTCCAAGGTGAAAGAGGGGAAAGTTTGGGCCAAGCTACTGGACTGGGCATTTTGCACAGCTGTTTCATTCTCTTTCTCTTAGTCCCTAAGAAGGTCCTGAGGTTATCCAAAAACCACAGGGCAGGCAGGGAGTTTACACTGACACTAAGAGGCATTCACAGGACAGGAGAGAGTGGCTGTCCTGAGGGTCTGGTATTGGGACCAGACAAACTTCTGTGTAATCCCAGCTCTCACCAGGTCCACTGTCCAAGGGACCCGTAATATTGGTACAGAAGTTTTACAAAAACACAGACTGGGAAATGACATCTGACAGGTAATACATGGCTCCATAAATGTTTACCTGTTGTAACTGTCATCATCATTATTACTTTCATCTATCATTGAACACACAAAAGATAGTTATCTGTGGGGCAAAGGGCAACACACTTGAGTGAAGAGTGACTGTTTAACTTGATTATTCAAGGGTTAATGATGAGAAGCATCTGATTGGATTTCCAAAAAGCTTTGTAGCAGTTTAAACATCAAAGATAAGATTATCATTCAGGCTGTTCCTGAATGTGGCCTAGCATTGGCCTTTGGCCTGGGTGGCCCCAGACTTTGCTCTTTTGTGTACATGACCTTACACTTACGGACATGATGGGAAGACCTCCTAGTGAGGCAGTACAGACTCTTCTCTTCCATACAGGAACAATCTTGTCCTCTTGGCAGATACCCAGAGCCATCAATGGAGGATGGGTATGTGGGCGGCATCAGTGAGGCTTCTGGACCTTCCTCTCTTTGGGAAAGTAGTAAGAGGGGAGCTCCAACGTTGTCATGTGTCACATACATGTCTTCTGCCTCTGCTGCTCCCTGACCAGCTCAGCCAGCCCTGTCTGCACCTTATGTTTGCATTGGAGGATGACTGGAATAGAAGATGCCCTTTTGGTGGGTGTGGCCAGCTTGCATTTGATGCAGTGCCATCTGGCCTGTATAGAGATCCTGCTGTATTCCAGCAGGCAAGAGGCAGTTGTCTAGCAGAGTATACAGGAGCACAGGCCAGCCAGATGTCTCCATCAATCCCAGTGTGACCCCTTGTGTCTATGTGACTTCTCTCTGTAGATACTACCTACCTCAGAGGGCTGTTCTGAGGATGAAATGAATTAACGGGAGCAAAACCTTGAGAACAGAGTCTACCACAAAGCAAGTGACACATAAGGGCTTGCTGTTGTTACTGCTGTCCATGAGGGCATCTCAGGCCTGGGTGGCCCTGGACTTTGTATATTAGCATCAAAATGTGTAAGTTGTGATGTAGTGCTCTTGGATCAGTTGAAGGTGCCATTGGATCTGGAGTGGGAGGCCTCGGGGTGGTCAAAGTTGCCCTGGGTCTGGGGTTACCAGGGATGGCCGAAGACGTATCTGACATTTTGCCATTATGGAGGAGGCTTGTTTGGTGTTGGACTGAAGCTTCACCCTTTTACCTCTTGAGAAGCCTGAAATATCCTCGTGGCGGGTGGCCCACCCTAGCTCCTGAGTACTGCAGGAAGCAGAGATCAGTGACTCAGCTTAGGAACGCTGAGGCACATTGAGAAGCCTCAAACAACTGAGGCATCAGGATTCTGAAACAGAAGAGACAGTTGGATTCTTCCTGATTTAGACCTATGGATTCAGACTGAGGTGACTTTTTCCATAAATGTTGGCACAGGAGAATTCTGGGAAGTCCTTGTTTTGCAATTTCAAACCCAATGGGACAAGCCTGGTCTCTCTCCAGGTTGGAGGGAGTGAAGACATGGCCAGGGGCCTGCTCAGCAGAAGGAAGTTGCCCCTTGACTATTCTTTTCCTTCTCCTCGCCTCTGCCCTGTCCCCCTTCCCCCACAGTGAGAATGGCATCTCTTGGTTTTTTATTTCATTGTGTTTTAAACCTCTAGTGGTTGTGGAGGGGGTTGGGTTGATGCCCCGGTGGACTTTCCTTCCCCTTGTAGCATTTTCCCCCAGAATCTGGTCTTTCCACTTTTGGAATCTTAGAATGATGAAAGATTAGTACTGGCTGGAGTCTTTGAAATGATCTGAAGATCAATCTCATTATTCTACAGAGACAGAAAAAGTCCCAAACAAAAGATTTTGCCCCAAATCCCATAAGGAGTTAGGATATAACCTAGAAGGGAGAAAATGTGAGTAAAGAGACTTTTCTCTTATACTTTGCCACAAAGGAGGACACTGGGTTTGTTCTTAAAGGATTAAACACCTTTTGCTGTTCCTCTGGAAATCTTAGACTGAAAGTTTGGTTAAGAAAAAGTCAGTAGCCTTGACAAAAATGCTGGAAATTCCGAAAGTTTATAATATTAATGAACACCTTTGTCTGAGAAAGATAGTTTATAAAAGTTCATGCTCCTTTGTCAGAGTTGGGCAAAAGTGAAAGTCAGAGAGGCGTCTACTGTGTTTCTCACAGGAATAATAATGGTAGTGTCAAGCTTTGCCTTTGGGACTCCTGGAATGTCAAAGCTGGGAAGAGTATCATCCCTTCCAGTTCCCCAGTTTGCAGGTGAGGCTGGGAGGGCCACAATTCTCACACCTGGAGCACAGCTGAGACCTGGCCCAAGGCTTCTGAGTCCCTCTGCCCCTACTCTCCTGATGGCCAGTGGGTCACCTGTCGTGGACCCTGTTGCGGAGAACAGTGATAGTGTGGAAACCAGGTGAGGCTGGGAGGGCCACAATTCTCACACCTGGAGCACAGCTGAGACCTGGCCCAAGGCTTCTGAGTCCCTCTGCCCCTACTCTCCTGATGGCCAGTGGGTCACCTGTCGTGGACCCTGTTGCGGAGAACAGTGATAGTGTGGAAACTTATGCCTCCTTAAATGGGTTTCTATCAGACTTTTTCCTGATTGGAGAAGACTGGGAATGTCCAGGGCCATGGCAGATGAGCACTTCCAAGAAGGAAACTATTGGCTGGGTGTGTTGTCTTGCGCCTATAATTTCAGCTGCTTGGGAGGCTGAGGCAGGAGCATCACTTGATGCCAGGAGTTCAAGATCATCCTAAGCAACATAGTAATACTCTGTCTCACAAAAAAAAATTTTTCTTTTTTTAAAGATGGAAACGATCTGAGAGGGGCTTCTGATGCTTCCCACTCTCCTGGTGTTAAATCTAGGAAAATTTCATGTAAATGACAATGGAAACAATATCAATGAAATGATCTTGCCTCTACTTCTGCACACAGGGGAGGTCATGTTATCATATTTATTTATTTATTTAGAGTCAGGGTCTCACTCTGTCGCTGAGGCTGGACCTTCTGGGCTCAGGCAATCTTTCCATCTCAGCATCCCGAGTAGCTGGGATTACAGGCGTGATAATGTATTTTTTATTTTTTGTAGAGGTGAGGTTTTCTTTGTCACCCAGGCTGGACTTGAACTCTCCTGGGCTCAAACAATCCTCATGTCTTGGCCTCCCAAAGTGCTAGGATGACAGGCATGAGCCACTGTACTCGACCTGTGTTATCATTTATATAAAGCCTCTACTGTGTGTCAGGGACTGTACTGGGCTCAGGGATGCAAAGACATGATTCTAATAGCCCTTGGTGCTTGTGGTTTGGGGGCTAATAAATACATGCTTCCAAGCTGTGGATGGTGTTGTGAAGAGAAAAGCTCCAGTTCTTAGAATAACAAAGAGGCCTGACTGTTGTGTTATGGAGGATTAGAGGAAGCCTCTGTGGAAGGACTGGTAGGAGCTTGGCAGGGCATGCAGCTGAAGTAGCTGTGTGCACAGGCTTCTAGGCAGGGAAGGGTGAGCAGGGGAAGTTGGGCAACTGAACCAGGGAGAGATTCTACACAAAGAGTGCAGAGACATAATAAGATTAGGAGGTAGATAGAGGCCAGATCATGTAGGGCTTTCAAAGGATTTTGAGTTTGGTTCCAATGGGAAGCCACTGAAAGGTTTTTAGTAGGGGAAAGCAGAGTCTGACTGAGGGCGGAAAATGAATGGAAGACGTGAAAGTCTTCCATGTGAGATGCGTAGGGAAATAAAAGAGGAGAGTAATGAGCCCTGGTTCCCAGGCTGCTGTCACAGGCGTTCAGCCTCAACCATTCTGAAAAGAACTCTCCTCTTGCCTAATAGACCTTTCCCCTTTAATTTTATTCTCCAGAAATAAAATTAAACCTTTTTTAAAAAATTGTATTCTCACTCTGTTGCCCAGACTGTAGTGCAGTGGCACACTCCCGGCCACCGCATCCTCAACCTGCTGAGCTCCAGCAATCCTCCTGCCTCAGCCTTCCAAGTAGCTGGAATTACAGGTGCACACTACCACGCCCAGCTAATTTTTCATTTATTGTAGAGATGAAGTCTCACCAAGGTGCCCAGGTGGGTCTTGAACCCGCGGGCTCAGGCAATCCACTCGCCTCAGCCTCCCAAAGTGCTGGGATTACAGGCTGAGCCCGGCCTAAACCTATTTTTACAATCTTAACTTTTAGTTGTTGTTTTTTTCTTTTAAAGACAAAGTCCTATCAAATCAATTCCTATTATTGGTCTTTAATAATAAACTTATGTACATAGGGATTCCAGGACAAAGACCTGTACCACGATTTGTTTAACCCGGGAGTCTTGTTTCCTTCCTCTTTCAGGTTGACCAGTATCTCTACCACATGCGTCTCTCTGATGAGACCTTGTTGGAGATCTCTAAGCGGTTCCGCAAGGAGATGGAGAAAGGGCTAGGAGCTACCACCCACCCCACTGCGGCAGTGAAGATGCTACCCACCTTTGTGAGGTCCACTCCAGACGGAACAGGTACTGCCCAGGGGACGGCTCTGGATGCTTTGTTACTCGGGAGTGATTTGGTTGGCTTTGCTCAGGGACCCAAAGAACGATTAGTCAGTGAAGGTCCTCTGGTTTCAAACTTTAGAAACCAACCACGGCTAATGTAAGCACCTGGGGAATTGAATGAAAGGTTGTGGGATGGGATGGGAGCCAGCAGCCATGGCAGTCAAGGGAGAAGCACCAGGGTGTTGCTCTCTACCATTTGTTGTCTACTTGTGTGCTGAGAAAGGATGCTTGGGTCAGTTTGGAATTTTATAATCCCACTGAAATTGCACACAGTGGTGAAAATGGACAACAGCAAACATACCTTATGTGGTCACAACTATAGGCCATGGCAGCCGTTTTCTGTCCCACCACCTATACATGCCCTAATTGGCACATTGTGTAGGCATGCTGGAGAGGCAGTGTAGCACAAGTTGTCTTAGATTGTTTCTTGAGCCCCATAGTACTAAAAGTCTGAATAAACTTGGGGAAAATGTAGAGAACCACAGTGCATATTAAGGAATTAAAAGCTCTGAAGTCCTACCATATGGACCTGTTAAGCATTGTTTACTCCCCTTGTTAGGATACATAATTCTTATTTCATGATATACTACCCAGCAAGTGGTTTTCTAAATTGTTTTTTCTGTAGCTATGGGGTATTGATAGGTTGCCTAGACTGGTCTCAAACTTCTGGCCTCAAGTGATCCTCTGGCCTTGGCCTCCTAAGGTGCTGTGATTACAGACATGAGCCACTTGCTTGGCCCAGCAAGTGATTTAATCACATGGGAGAAAAGGGTCATGGTGGAGATCCAAGTTGGAGAGTTGGATTAGGCTAGATCACAGAACACCTTGAATGCCAGCCTAGAATGTTCAGTCTTTTTCCATTAGGCACTGGGTAGTAAATGCAAGTTTTTGAGGGGTGTGAGGAGAACTGTCTCGGTAATGTTTTATCATCAGCAGCATATGTGGAGTGAGGGACGGGGTGCGTGTTGTGAGATTGGAAGAGCACAAGACATGGCCCTGGTTGGGTGGTGGTGGGTGGGGAAGAGAAGATTCCAGGGATGGCAACTTTCCAGGGAAGGTGATGAAACTAAGTTGTGTCTGAGCTGTTACACAGCTTGTTTCATTTGGTCCTCATAGTAAGGAATTCCATTTTAGAGATGAGGCATCTGTGAGGCCTTTGAAGGGTGGTGGGTGGTGGGTAGCTACTCACATCTAGAGGACAGAGAAGGAGCCTAAGGGGCAGCTGCCAGGGCAGCGGAAGAACCAGGAAGCACACAGTCCAAGAACTTGAGAAAGGCAAGATCTCCAAGAAGCCAGCTGGTTGCTGGTGAGGTGTTTGCAGAGTCATAGGGATGGGGTTGGAGTTCTGGCATAGGCTAGGGCTTGTTTATGTACCACATGCGTGCGATATTTCCGTCACATTTGTGTTCTTGAGGCTCACCTCCCTGAGTGTCTCTAGGGACCTGGTTTGTCTAACAAGACTTTGTGAGGTTCCCAAAAATGAGTATGTGTTTGCTGAGGCCCTGGGACCCAGCACCGAGGTTGTGACCTTGGCTAGAATTACTCTCTGAGTGTCTGTGTCTCCGCCTTCAGAGAGCCCCTGGAGGTGAGGGACCATCTGAGTTATCTATCCTTTGCCCTGTAGATTGAAAAGTTTATTATATCTGCCACTCCCTCTAACTGGAAACCACACCCACTTCTGAGGTTTCTATTTGACATTCTGAAAAATTTCCTAACTCCTGAAGTCCAGAGCCTTGCCTTTATTTCACCCAACATTAGCACTAAGTAAGTACCCTCAATATTTTCCAAATACATAAATATTATAGGTTAAGGACTATTCTGAACTCCTGCATGTACGAACTCATTTGCTTTCCATGAAACCCTCTAAGGTAAGCACAAATTTTATCCACAATTTTTAGATGAGGAATTTGAGGTTTGGAGGGTCAAATAACTTGTCCAAGATCATACCAGCTGATGAGAGGCTGAGTCAGGAACCAAATTTGTATGTGCCAAAGTTCAGCAAGATCACACACGATGCTTTATGCGTATTTGTGCATGTGTCATCCTGAGCACTTAGCACCAGAGCACACAGCAAATGCTCAGTTAATATTTTTTGAAATAGGTTTGTGGCTGATTGTTTAGCTTGTATGAAAGGCAGGTGAATATGTCTGTTGGGGAAAACTAATTATGGGGCAAGCTTTTAAAGTTCTCATTGCTTTCCTTAGATTGGAAACATGGAGAATCCCTCTGCCTCATGAAACTTGCACTGTTTGCTGCACATGCTGGGATGTTTTATTCACTTAAGCCAAGGAAGGGGCACCTGGAGTAGTGGAGAGCAGACTACAGAAAACCCACACCCAGCTCCTCCCACCTTACTTGCTAGGGGTCCATAGGCCAGCTCCTCATCTTCACACTGTGGGACTCAGCTTTCTCCTTTCTAAAGTAACCGGCTGGACCCAGTAGCACCAGTGTATTCTGCACATGTACTAGAACTGGTGTGCTAATCTATTTAAAAAATTTTTTTCTTAATTTTTTTTCTTTTTTTTTGTTTTGAATTGGAGTGTCACTCTGTCACCCAGACTGGAGTGCAGTGGCCACTCCTGGCCACCGCAGCCTCGACCTGCTGGGGTCCAGCGATCCTTCCGCCTCATCCTTCCAAGTAGCTGGAACTAGAGATTTTTAAAAAAATTTGTTGTAGAGACGAAGTCTCGTTAAGTTGCGCAGGCTGGCCTGGAACCCCTAGACTCAGGCAATCCTCTCGCCTTGGCCTCCCAAAGTGCTGGGATTACAGGCTTGCGGTGGCACCCAGCCTTAGTGTGCTAATCCATTTACATGAAAACTTTTGAGATACTGTAATGGGGGAGAAACCCTAATGTCCATTGGATGTTGCCCTGGACTATTTTGTGTTGGAACACCTAAGGCTTGGTAATTTATAAAGAAAAGAGTTTTATTTGGCTCCTGGTTCTGCAGGTTGTATAAGAAACATGGCGCCAGCGTCTACTTCCGGTGAGGCTCTGGCTGTTTCCACTCATGGTGGGAAGCGAAAGCAGCTGGCATGTAGAGATCACACATGAGAGGCAGGGAGGCACCAGGCTCTTTTTAATAGCCAGCTTTCAGGGAACTAGTAGAGCGAGAACTCAGTTCACTTCTGTCTCTCAGGGAGAACATTAATCTATTCATGAGAGATCTGTCCCCATGACCCAAACACCACCCGTTAGACCCCACCTCCAACAGTGGGAATCAACATGAAATTAGGTGGGACAACCATACTCTAGCAGGTGGGCACTGGTTAATTAATGCAGAAGACAAGAGTCCTCTGTAGCCCATTAAAAAGCATGAGATGTAATATTAGGTGGTATAGAATCTCATTTTGTAAGATAGCTACATGTATTTATCTAGATTCGTATTTACACATCTATAAATTCATATGTGCTTGTACGTATATGTATTTATGGGCACGTAAAGTCTCAAGGACATGCATCAAAGTATTATTAGTATTTGTCCTGGACACACAAAGTCTAGTAAAATAGAAAATCGGTGTATTTGACAAGTCAGCAATTCCACTTCACCTTTATATCCTGAGAAAACTCCCGTATGAATCCATGGGGACATGATCCAGTAATGTTCATAACAGTGTTGCTTATAATGACAGCACATTGGAAACAGTTGTGGTATATTCATGTGATGGAATATTATACAGCATGTCTCATAAATGAGCATATATAAACATGGATACATCTCAAACAATTAGTGAAAAGAATTGGGGGAGGATGTATACCTCGAGTCATTCCATGGAAAGTTCTAAAACTCTCCAAGCAATTGTCTTAGATACACACATCATAAAGTTATTAGGACATGAATTGGAAAGTGTAAGCTAGATAACTGACAGGGATCATTTCTAGTGAATAAAAGGACACTGGAACTGGGGAGGAGAAGAGGAATGTCATTGAAAATGGTCAGCGTCAACCAACCATGTTGTATAAAAAAATGTGGTGCATATACACAATGGAATATTATGCAGCCATAAAGAAGAACAAACATGTACTTTGCAGCAACTTGGTTGGATTTAGAATCGATCATACTCAGTGATCTGTCACACAAAAGAACAGAGTACCATATGTTCTCATTCATAAGCGGAACTTGAACAATTACAATACTGTAAGAAAGTGATTGGCAGTGGTGGGAAACTGTCTGGGGAGGGGGGTGGGATTGGCAGTTGATGGAAACTGCTAGGGGAGGGAGGGGCATACCTCATCAACAAGGGTACCTGCATAATCAACTTTTGTGTACCTAACCCTGAATTGTTCCACACATCTTTATAATAAAAAAAAGAAAGAGAGAAAATGGTCAGCATCAAGGCTTGTTTTGTCAGGTGAGGCTGTGAGTTATGAAATGAGGCAACGGGGATGGGTGACTACTAAACTGATACAGACTATCAAAAGTGAGAATTCTCGAGTCGGCTCGGTAGCTCAGCCTGTGATCCCGCACCTTGGGAGGCTGAAGTGAGTGGATTGCCTGCGCCCGCGGGTTCGAGACCCGCTTGGGCAACTTGGTGAGACCTCATCTCTACAATAAATCAAAAAATTAGCCGGGTGTGGTAGCGCACGCCTGTAGTTCCAGCTACTTGGAAGTCCTGAGGCGGAAGGATCACTGGAGCCCAGTAGGTCGAGGCTTCGGTGGCTGGGAGTGGCCACTGCACTCCAGTCTGGGCGACTGAGTGAGACTCCAACTCAAAAAACAAACAAACAAACAAACAAAAGTGAAAATTCTCCTCTGTCCTTGGCCCCCAGCAAAGTGTGCTGAGAGGAATGACCGAGGTGTGGTTGTGTCAGCCTTTCTACCTGTGGTCACACATAACCTAGGGCCACAGCCTGGGCACCCACCACCACTGCCACTGCTGCTGCTGGGGGTGAGCCTCTCTCTCCCACAGAAGGCTCCAGGCCTTTGCTCCATAATGGCTGTTTAATACCACCTTTCTCAGAACC